TGCAAACTGCCGAAATGTGCGAAAGGTAAGCAAAACAAAAATCTGTCCTCATCAAGCAGTATTTAGATCAGTACTGGTCAGCGGTGAGGATGATGATGATGATAATAACGGTAACGATGTTTAGGTAATGGTGGCGATAGGCCTTGGCGATCGTAAACACGTAGACTGATTATGTTGCTATAACTTGAAGACTTATGGAGCTCAAGAAATCAATGAGAAATAATCAGCAACTTAAAGATGAACCAGCCGAAAGAAGACTGGCCAGTCGAATTCGAATATATATATATACATCTGTTTTCACAGAGTCCAACTTCAGCAATTCTTTATGGCAATCCGAGGTCATCTTGGCTCCCTCTTAACAAAATTATATCCATGGAGGAAATTTGACTACGACAGCACGTCATGAATTTACTTCAATGACAAGAAAGTATGCATATTCTGTGTTCTCGTTTTCTTTCTGTGTAATCTCCATGACAGGGCCAGCTCCATGTGAAGAGGGCCTGGACCTTGGCATTGTTATTGACCGCTCATTGAGCGTTAGAACAAGAAACCTCGAGCGCCTTCTAAAAGTTTTCTTCCCCAAATTCTTCAAACGCATGGGTATTTCAAAAAGCAAGACCAATATTGGTATAATTAAGTACGACAAAAGTGCAAATGTCTATGCTCCATTCAATGGGCCAAACTCCAGATCTTTAAAGAAAGCGACTGCCTTCGTGAAAAAACTGGACCCAGGTGTCTATTTGCAGACGCGGACAGACAAAGGACTTATTGCAGCATACAAACAGCTGTTCACCAAAAAGGTACATGTGTAAAGGAACTTTCAGTTGGACGTGTATAGCAATCTAATAAGATGTCTTTTAGCGAGAGTACTTCCTATTACTTTAGATGTTGGTCCATTTGGTTTCCATAATTTTCTCTTCTTAACGCTGGTTCAAATTTCAAATAATTTCAATTTTAGGAGTTGCTCAGTTTTTCTGGGTAATGGGTCATTCATTTTATGTTTATGATATGGCTTTTTAAGGGAGGTGACAGAAGGAAGAGACAAAATGTCCTTCTGACGTTCACTGATGGGCGAGCCTGGCCAAGGAGACGTATAAAACCTTTCTCACTGACTGTTCCTCCGCTAAGGGTGAGCAACATGTCTACTATTTGTTTGGTGTGTTCGTTCGTATATTTTGAATTTTCCATCCAAGCCCCTGTATTATTGATTTTTTTTTGTCGTTTTTGTTTCGTTTGTTGTTGTTTTTTTTTTTTCACTTTTGATTTTTTAATTCGTTTGTCCGGTTGTCGGTTTGGTGCTAACAGTGTATAGAATTTAAGGACCATTCCTATGAAGGTGTGAAGTTGAATGAATATAATTTCAGTTGCGTTCATATCATCGTATATCATAGAATTAAATAATTTAGAATTTCAAATCTATTTGATGTCAGCAAGTTATCAAGCTATCATACCTATTGTTCATAACGTGAACTTTGCTTGTCTGTGTAAAGGAAAAGAAAAAATGTCATATGGTGGCAGTCGGTTACGGTGTTCCATCGAGATTGAACATGACTCAACTCCAAGAAATCGCAGGTGACAATGCGATCCTCGTTCCAAGGCCGAGGCAAATCAGAAAAATGGTTGGCAAAATAAAGAAAGTAGTCTGTCGTAAGTAAAGATACCATTACAGAACACTTTTAAGCTTTTTTCGAATGCGTCGTTGAGTTCCGGTTTCGACTTGTTGCTACTTTTGTATCGCTTTACTGTACACAAGGAATGCGTTGCCAATGAACCTCTTGTGAGCCGATTTGTGAGTTGAGTATTGATTAAAGAGGATCCTTATGGAGTAGTACCTACTAGTACTAACGGTTGATGGTTGAAAATAAGCCGTTTTAAAGGGGGAGGTTTGAATTTTACTCCATTTGACGGTTGGGGCGGCTTAATTCTTCAGAATGACAAGTAATCACGAGAAATCAAGCAGGCAAACTAAGGTTTTGCTTTAAATAATAGGAAATTTTGCAATACTTGAGGGGGCTTCATTAAAGGGGGAATAGGTAAATAATTTCTTTGTGACACAAACACCACCTCCCCCCCCTCAATAAATAATGACCGGTCCCTAAAAACAAGAGAGTTGTAAATTCATGATTACCAATGGAAGAGCTCTTCTCTCATTAGTAGAAGCGCTTGTAGTTTTGTCATGATTGGTCCACTTTCTCTAATCCAGAGGTGGATGGAGGGTACTCAAAGTGGAGTCAGTGGTCACTTTGCAGTACCACGTGCGGAGTGGGGGTCAAAGTTCGAAGCAGGACATGCAGTGCACCTCCACCAAAAAAAAAGGGCAAAGACTGTTCTAGACTGGGAGACAGTGTGGAAGCAGTGGAGTGTAATGAAGGAGAATGTCCAACAGGTAAACAGACGGAACAGACCAATTAAACCCAGCAAACAGAAAAATACAAATAAGAAGTGGCAAAAAAGAATAACGAAACAAAAACCAATTAAATATTAATACAAGAGAAAACAAAGTAATACAACTGAAGGGGACAAACATTAAAAAATGGGAAATAGCAAAACGACAACACAAATATTACGAAGGTAAACAAATACTATGAAACAAAAATAAACAAAATCAACGGAACAGAAAAAAAACAAAACAGCAAGGACAAATGAAAGAAGATGAGTAATCTGCAAATGGATCTTGTCCTTGAGGAAGCTCTAAAATTAATCACGTAATTATTTTCAAAACGGAACGCTCGTACAAGACGTATAAAGTTCGTATCCTGTTTTTTTATATTTTTTAAAATTCCTTCCAGGCCCAACACCGTGTACCAAAAAGAATCTGGACGTTTGTTTGATTGTGGATGCTTCTTTGAGTGTTGGAGTTCAGAATTTTCTCCGTGTGAAATCCTTCCTGGTGCAATTCATTCATCAGTTCGAACCTGAAACTCATTTCAGTATCATTACCTTCAGCGGCAAACCTCAAGTCCGATGCAAGTTCTCCGATTCTATGTGCCAAGGAACAGACAAGACACACGATACAATCGCAGAAATTCCTGACAGAGTCTCATGGGGTACTTACACCGATAAAGCTTTAGTTGCCGCTGACCAGATCGTCTTCACGGCGGAAGGTGGTGATAGGCCGGATGCCTCTAATGTGGTTGTGGTTATAACTGATGGAAAAACAATGAGGGGCTCTCAACCGTTCAACGTCACTGTTCCTCCACTACGGGTAGGAAGTGAATACTGATTAATTGTTATAATATCATTACATACAATCAAGCAATTTGCGTGTTGAATGTAATCCGGGTTTCCTTTACTTTGCTCTGTGACTAGTTCAGAAAAGTCGCACCTTTTTCTCAACCAATCAGATGCAAAATTAAAACCAATCACGCCAACCAAAAATCAAACTTTCTTTACGACATACTTTGGAGTTCTTAGGTAACAGAGAAGCAGCAAGAATAAATCTCAATAGGTTATCACTCTTCCAGATTTCTGAAAACGCCTACAAGTCAAAAAGCTGGATACGCCCCAGTACGATTTAGTTTTAATTGAGAGACAGTTTAAAATATCTTGATTTTAATGTTTAATATCGTACAATAATGCAATTAAATATTCCATTTTAGGACGGAAAAGACGCTAAAGTATTGGCATTCGGTGTTGGTCCAACCATTCGTGAAGAAGATCTGAACGAGATGGCCGGAGAGAGCAACTGGTTTTATGTCTATGAATTTGCTGATATGAAGTACAGAATCGGCGATATTCTGGGAGTAGCCTGCAACAACTCAGCTACCCTACCGTGACAGCTTCAACTCGTTACTAAAGCTTTAGGGTATTGAACATTTTTAATAAGTATAGTTCATCAAATGTTTTCGCACATCCGCAATTGGTCTAAGCGATCCTAAACGGGTCACGGAAATATGCCTCGAGTAGAATTGGCGAATATCTTCCCGATACTTCTTGTCTTTTAAACCTAACCGTAAATTCACGTTGATTAACTTCAAGACGAGGTGGGCTTCTGCTTTTGTTGAAGAAGCGATGAACCTGCTTTGCTGATGGGAATATCAAAAGACGATAATCTTACACAATGCTACAGCAGTTTTTTTACGTCCAGCTGTCTGCGAATGTTTTGACTCGTGCGCTTCGAAAGAATTGAAATGTGAAGATTTAAGTGCTGGGTACCCCTGATGTCTGAGACCGCCGCCTTTAGGCACACTTTGATTACTTCTCCAGCTCAGCTTTGACATCATATCCCTGGGAAACTGTGAGAGTTTATTTGCACGCTAAATGTAGGTAGTTTTTCTTTATCATCATTCTTACGCGCCTTAAATGTAATGTTTATTTACGATCCAATCAGCATCAAAATGTATGCTTACTTTTTCCTTTGCAGAGTTCACATGCATGGCTGGGTGATTAATTTACCAAGATAATTCAGCGGGATAAGGCTGATGACCAAAAATCATCATGAGGAGTTTGGAACTAAAAGGGATTCTATTTTCCATTTAAAAGTTATGGTAAAACAAGTAGATTTTCACGATGAAGCTTCTGTAGGTTGAAATTAAACAAGTGTTGACCCAGCCAGTTTCAGTGTTTTCAAGATATCATACGTTTACACCGTAAATGTTCGGAATCTAATGACCTTCTTTAGTGACATAGCTACTTCACTCTCAGGGCATGGTAAACAGAATGAGACCAAGCAAGTCATGAGATAAAGGCTTCCCTAAAAAGTTCATCTTTTCTAAGACCTATTTCTTATCAAATGAAAAAGTAATTCTAGCCCTAAACCTAAGCAATTTACTACATAGAACCAGGGCAACAGTTGAATTTCCCTTTTTCAAGTCATAGAAACTAGAAAGTTTCAAACTATAGTTTCCTAGACATTCCTCTTTATTTAAAAACTAAGATCACAGTTTTTTTTCGCAAGGAGGACTTGTTCAAGGAAACATTCTGGTCATCTTTTTTCATCAGTAATATGTATAAAAAGCTTGTCAAGCAAAAACTTGTCAAGAAAAAATTGCCAGTGTAAATCAGCAGAAGAATACTCTTAATACACCATAAGTCACCTCTATGATATACA